CCAGTTTCGAGGCCAGGGACACTGCTAAACATCCTATGATGCAGAGGAGGGCAGCCCCCTTCCTCCCCTGTTGGCTCAAGCACACACACACACACACACACACACACACGCACAAACACACAGTTGGCTCAAAACATCAATCCTTCCAAGGCTGAAGTATCTTGTACTAAAATCATCTAAGAGGTTATCATTGGGGGGAGCTGGATAAAGGGTACATGTGGCCTCACTGTACTATTTTCGCTATTTCCTGTGAGTTTATAATTATTTCCAAATAAAAACTTAAAGAAATGTTTTTAAAGATTCCATTCTCTTTAGTATATTGGGGCTCTACTTCTCTGGATGTCTGTCAGCCACTCACGGAAAATGCAACACTCTCAATTAGCCAAAGGGTTCAGTTCTCCAAGGATCTCCATGAATGTCAGCATATGACACCCATTGGGCATTTCTGTGGTGGCGTGAAAGAACAGCCAAAGGTCGAAGCCAGAGCCCACACCAAGATCAAAGCCCCAATGCCCTTGGCTCCTTGCATAAACCCTCCTACAGGCCTGCCAAAAACATTTCACCATCTGCAAAGATAAAGCACATATAGAGTTTTAATTAGTTATATATGCTTTTATACTTATGCATCTCTAAATTGAACCCCTCACTCCCACCTCAGTGCCTGGCACATAGCATTGCATCATCCATCCAGTGAAGCAAAGCACAGAAGTTTGCATTAAACACTCCAGGCCACAGTCCAATGTTCCTTCCTCTGTAAGTGCCTTACTAAGATATTCCAAAACAATCCAGTGCAGAGATAAGTTCTTCTATTAACACCATGAGCAGCATATAGATCAAGCTGCTACTTAAAGTGGAAAAAAAATAATTTTCTCCTAGTGTAGTTGAACTGCACAAAACTGACACTGACTCCCCTAACCAAGTTCACACTTAAATCGGTCTTCCCACTTTGGCCCAGGGCAGAGGATTCTGCTGAGCAAACACCAAAATAAAAAAGGACAGGAGTTAAAAATGCGAGATAAATGTCACACTTGTCTTGCCATGGTTGGGGAGAGCTCTCAAAAAGCCCCGCAGAACTCATTAGAAACAAGGCTGACATGGTAGCAGGCCCAGAGGCGGCTGCCCCAACAGGCCTCTGACCCAAATCTCTAGATTTTCCGAAGACCTGTTTTCAGCCTGGGGCCTGGAGATCCCCGTGGGTGCCAGGGCCGCCCTGCACTTGGCAACATTTCCTGCTGGAGCAGAGGCTAGGTGCCGAATAAACAGGCTCCCCCATGGCCTGTCTCTACCTGCAAGATGGCCTTCCAAAAGCAAACGAGCTTTTTCTTGCAAATTCAGGTTTCGTTCTGGTTTCTCCTCCAGAGACCCCATTCCAAGGGTGGCAAGAGCTTTTTCTCCAAGGCCTAAAGACAGTCACCTCCCCATGTAACCCCTGAGTCTACAGACGTATTCGTCTGTGGACACTGCTCTGGCCAGGCTGTGACTTTCTGAGCTGTTTTCTGTAGGGAAAGAAACCTGACTACCTTAGGAATGACATCTGGTCACTTGCATGAGTCCCCAGGACAATAAAGCTGACTTACTTGTTAGGTCTTAAACATCACCTCTCCAGGGAAGCACTGCCCCAGCCCCCCAAATTCAGAGAAGTGAGCCCCCCCAGCTTATTTGTTTGCTTAACACCCCACACTTCTGTGCAACCCTCAGCACAACTGCGATCACTTTCTCAGAGTCCCCAGCTGAGTTCCATGGCGGGGTGAGGGAAGAGGCCTGTCTTGCTCTCCCCACTCCTAGAATCTCACCCAGCACTGGTACTCAGCAGGTTCTTGGTAACGGCCTGGGGAATGAATGAAAGGTCCACAGGAAGACTAGCACATACGCTGGCAGGCACACTGGAAGCTTTCATTAAGAGGTTTTTACAGCAATTGACAAAGTAAAGTGAGTGACAGATGCCAGTCTTCCTATTTGCAAATGATGATGAGGTTAAAGCTCACAAAGCTGAGCCACGATCCCAGATCCCTGAGCTGATGAGCCCTAGACATGGGGGTTAGGTACACTCTTCAGACTCCCAGTCTGGAGCTCCTTCTACTTTCTCACTTGGCTCCACCCGCAGTGAGTACAGAACCCAACATACATGTCTCCTGCCTACCCCACCCCACCATGCCCAGGGTGGGGCTAAGCACGTAGCAGCCACTACAAAAACTAGAATGCAGGTGGATTTGATTCAAACTACCAAACCAAAAAGGCCTTAAGTTAAAAAGCGCAGGAGAAAGGCTTTCAAATCTCCCAAGCCAGCAAGCGACACTGAGCAAGTTACTTAAACTGTCTGAGCCTCACCCACCCTTCAGAGCCACTGAAAGGATTAAATGAGACAGTGGCACATAAAGCTTCTAATGGAGTCACAGTCGATATTCAACAAATATGAGTCTCTTCCCACTCCTAACCCTGTTATTAAGCCACTGTGGCTCTTACACATCTGAATTCCCACAACTCCCTTGAAACACTGGAAATTCTGGATGGCTGTGTTCAGGGCTGTCACACAGCTCTGAAATGCCTGCCCATTCAAAGTTGGCCACAAATGGAAGCACGCAGGGCCTCTGCAGAGGGGGTGCCCAAATGGGTCCACCCCTTCAGGAGTTCTGTGTCCTCACCCCCTCCTCCACTTTCCCACTGCCCTGGCTGCCGACTTTCCTGAGCAGTTTAACCAAACAAAGACGATGCCTTCCCTACCCAGAGCCCTGTAACGGTGGCACCCGCACGTATCTCCTTTCAGGAAGGGCCACTGCAAGGCCAGAGAATTTGGCCACATTCCTGCTCATGCCCCACTCTGGAAACACTAGGCCTGCAGCCCCCTGCAATTTGAGCAAAGAACATTTGAAACAACTAGAGAAAGCCCCACTTCCCAAGGTGGGTAATAAACTACGACATTTAGTGGAAGTTATTTCCCTAAGAAAATGGGGTTGGCAGAAACTGAAGATGGATTTGAGAAGGGTGTGAGATGCGCATGAAAGACCGAGCACCGCAAGCAGCCAGGCAGCGGCCCTGTCCATCAAGCCGGAGTCCAGGCTGCAGCAGACTTCAGGCACAGACTCCCCAGCGGGGGCTGTGCCATCCTGCCCCCTGGCAGAAGACCCAAGGGACCCACTGAGAATGGGAGGGAGGGAGCTGAGAACGGACATGGCTGGGTAAAGACCCACTGGCAGAACTTTCTCTAGAAGGCCATCTGCCAAAACAGCCAGCCATCCACATCCCCAAAGCGGAAATTCAGCTGTATTTGAGGATTGAAGAAATAGGCAGAGAAGGAAGAGGTCTCGAGCAGAAAGCTCCTTAGCCAGGGGATTTCAAGTGTGGCGCAAAAGGGACTTGACTCTCCCGGCAGCCTCCCAGTTGCACAGCTCTCTCTTTACCTAAGGGCATAAGCCAGAGTTGAAATGCGGGTCAGCGTCAAGGTCAAGTTCTGGGGAACTGGGCGGGGCCTGCGGGAAGCATAGATATGGTCCCATAGGGAGGCAGGGGCTGCAACGGGGAGACCAGGGACTCCAGGGACTGGCTCATTTCAGACACACAGACTGGGAGAAGCCAGTTGTCCCCTGGAGGCGCGCAACCACTGGCGCCCCCTCGGGCCGCTCAGCGCAGAAAGTTCCTTACCTGGTAGATGCGGCTCCGGAGCCGACTTGTCCCTCTTGGGAACTTTCTTGGGATTGGTGGCCTTCTTGGGCGGCCTGGGCTCCTGCGGGCGCGGCTCCCACTTCTTGCCGGGCCCCGCAGGCAGCAGCGGAGAGAAGGACTCGGGCTCGGGCTCCTGGCGTGTGTAGTAGGGCTCCCGGCTCCAGATCTCCTGCCCGTAATAATCGGGGTCCTCGAGGGCTGTGCCCTGGGCTCCGACCCCGGCCAGGGTCACTGCCAGGAGCACCAGAGCCAGCGCCAGGGCAGCGGTCCCCAGGCGGGACATGCCCGCTCCGCCCCGCGCCCAGGCCAGGGTCACGGTCACCGGGAGCGCCGGGTGGGCGGCGGGTGCAGAGAGTGGCGCAGGGCAGGGGCGCAGGGCACAGCAGAGCAGCGGGCGGTGCGAGGGAGGCGGCCGGCCAGCGGCGCGTGTGACCGGCCAGCCGGGCTGGGCTGGGCTGGGCTGGGCTGGGCTGGGCTGGGCCGGGCCGGGGCGGACAGGGGCGCGCGGAGGCGCGGGGCGGGAGCAGGGGGGCCGGCCCCGCCCTTCCTTCTTCCCTCCCTTTCCCAGCGACCCCGCCGAGGCAGGTCCTTGGAGGCGGATGTTCCAAGCAACCAAGCCCAGGAAAGCCCCTTGCGCCCCACAGTCTGTCTCCAGCCCCCTTCCCGTCCCCCGCAGGCCTGGGGGCCTGCTGGGCGCCTGCTTCCCCAGAGACGCTAATGAGTTTCAATCTTAGGAGAAAACATTGAGGCCCCTCTGTTCCATTCCTTTGTTTTACAGGTGGAGAAACGTGACCTGAGAGGAGAAAAGATTGGCCCGGGGTCCTAAAGTAAATCAGAGTCCAAGCAGCCTCCAGCTCTCAATGCCCTGCCTGTCTGCTGACCACCCTGCAGACATGGATTTCCCACTGGCCGTGCTTCTGTTTCAGGAACTGGGAATGAAGAATTCCTGAGGTTCCCCGGTTTTCTGGGAGCAAGGTTTCCTGGGAGTAGGGGCTAGGGACCCTGGAGGAGCCCTGCTCCCATCTGAGATTGTGATTCTGTTGGGTCTTGGGAAAGACGGTGACATTACCCCAGGGCTGCCATCCAGGGGTCACAAGAGGGTTTGTGGTTCATCCAAGAGCAGCCTTTTGCCCAGAGTGTCCTTTGAGAAAGAGCCTCCGACTTCAGACAACTCTGCATGGGTCCTTTATGCGGAGCCCAGGCCCATGGCCTGGAGGCTTCTGCTCTCCAGGCAGGGATGTGGGGAACCAGGGACTGCATGGTTTCCTTTGCTGCTGAAACAAACGATGACAAACTTAGTGGCTTCAAACAACACCTGTCTCATATCTCTGCAGGTGAGAAGGCTGATGCAAGAGTCACCAGGCCAAAACCAAGGGGTTGGCAGGACTGGGTTCCTTAGGGGAGCCTCCAGAGAAAAGTCCACTTCCTCACTCACTCAGGTATTGGCTGAATTCAGTTCCTTGCCGTAGTAGGACTGAGGTGCTGTCCACTTGCTGGCTGTGGGCTGAGGCGCCTTTCCTCCTCCCAGCTGCCTGTGTTTCCCCTCCTGTCTTCTGCAGGCGCCTCCAGGCCTTTCCCTGGTCCTTGCACGTGGGCCCAGCATCTCAAAGCCAGTGCTGGCACAGCTTCAAATCTCTTCCCTTCCTGCCACATCTTTCCGCCTTTCAGCTAGAGAAAATCCTCTGCTTTTAAGAGAGTATGTGATTAGATGGGCTCGCCCAAAAAATTTAGGATAGTCACCCTCTCTTAAGTGATGACCTTAACCACATTTGCAAAGTCTGTTTTGCCATGTTCCCTAACTTTTTGCCAGATTCCCTAACTGTCCCCTGTTCTAGATATTCAGGTATAGATGTCTTTGGGAAGCCATGAAGCATTTGACAGAGATAGACTGACCCTCAGCCCTGCACTGGCCTATGATCCTAGGATGCCACTGAGCTGAGTCAGGGCCTCACCATTGCCCTGAAGTGAGGACTTCCTCAGAGTGGGGGCTCCTGAGACCCCCACAGTGGGCAGGGCTTGGGCCAGGACAGCTGTCATTATCTTCTTGCACAGGCCACTCAACCAGGCCATCTTTCAGGCCAGTCTTCCAGGCTCCCAGTTTGAAGGCCACAGCAGAATGACTGGGAGAGGAAGAGGCTGCTGGTTGAGGCAGGGGCTGTCGTGGGGAGCCAGGAGGCCTTGGACCTGCCTGTCAAACCCCAGCATGCTCCAGAACCCAGAGCCAGCAGAAGTCTCCAGGGTGACAGGGCAGGAGGGTCCCCTTCCCCACCCACCATTCTCTGCTCCCCAGCCCTTCCTGAATCCCCACCCGCTGTCCTCCGTTGCCTATCCCCAGGGCTCGCTCCCGAAACCAGGCACTCCAGACAACAACACAGTCTTCAGTGGTGAAACGGAAAGCGCCTCCAGCAGCAAGCAACACACCCAGTGTTCCAGCAAGCTGTTTGAAGTGTCAGCAAGAGGCTGGCCTGGCATCCTGGCCAGAGGGGCTGCAGAGGCTGCCCAGGCCAGGACTATGTCCTGCACCACCTTCCTCAGAACCTCCAGAGCTTGCTCAACAGCAAACACCCAGGCTGCACCCCAGACCTTCAGAATCTCCTAAAGAGGGGGTTCAAGCATGAGCATATCTAAGAAGTTCCTTAAGTAATTCTGACAGAGTCCAAATTTAAGATGAATCTTCTCCCTCTCATTTTACACAGGATCCTGAGTCCCAGATTCACCCAGGAAACACACAGCAAGTCAGTGATGGCCTGGACTAACCCTGCTCTTCTGCCTTTAACCAATATTTAAAGTCAGGTTGTATACATCTCAATGGCCCCAAACCCATGAGTCCTGAAGACATTTTACTTCTTTTCAGCACCACTTAGGTGAGTAACATAACATACACCTGCTCTGCAGTGTCTGGTAAGTATCCAGAGAAGGCCCCACCCAAACATGCCTCTCAACACGTCCCTGGAATCAAGAAATGAACCCACTCATTACCTGCTCTCCCTATTAATGCTTGCTTGTTTGTTTTCCCTGGAGAGGCCATAATTAAAGCAAGCAGAACAATTTAGAACAAGAATTGATTGCACTGATGCCAGTTCTCCCAACACAGCTGCCCACCGCACTGTTCCTGGAGCATCCTTTGTCTACCTCTGGCTCCCTGTCTCTGGTGCTGCCTGTCCTGGAAATGTGCAGGGCACAGCCAGAGCTCATGAAGTTTAAGAAGATAGGGTGGCAAAGCTGACCTCATTTTCTTGGTCTACAAGCTTTATCCTACCTCCCAACTCCTGCCTATCTGCCTGGGAGGGTCCGGCATTCTTCAGCTTCTCAGATGAAGATCTCCCTGGTCATCTTGGCCCCATCTCTCCTTCACCATCTAATACACAGCAGTGTGTCCCGCTGCTCTCAGGCCACACATTCTTTAATCTGCCTCTTCCTCTGTTCCCACTGCCCATCACTCAGCCCATGGTTCAGAGACCCATGGCAGATGATGGGAATCCATGCTCAGCAGTCTCCCTGCTTTGGGCCTCTCTGACCTGCAGTCCACCCTTCCTTCAAGGCAACCAGCCATTCTCCCTAAATACCCATTCACAACCTTGCTCCCCAACCGAAGAATCTGCAGGGTTGGCTAATCCCATGTAAATCTAACCCCTCTGGGTAAGATTCAAGGCTCACCAGCTTGGCTCTTCTACTCCCCACTGGACAACCACCACAAGACAGACTCCTAATGGCTTCCTGTACCGCACTGATAAGCTCTGTGATTAATATGCTAACTTTGCATCTTCCACAGAAACCAACAGAGTACAAGAAACACAGAAAGTGTCAATAACCCTTTCTGCATCACTAATCTTGCTTAGAGTCTTTCATGGCATCAGCCAAAGAGTGCTTCTCTCTAGGACTTTTTTGTTCTCAATTTAATAATGTGTCTGTTTAACTCAGGTCTGGAGCCCTCAGCAAGGGCTGTGAGTCTCTCCACATAGTGTAAGTGAGCTCCAGAAAGCACTGACTCTCCCTGGATGTCAGCCAGGCTGTAAACCAGACACTCCAGTCAGGGACAGCAATGGGGGCAAACTGGGAAACCAAAGTGGCAGTTCAGAATCCCCCCTGGTTTCTGAGTTCTTCAAATGGTTCTTTAAAGTCAACCATTGTTTGCCTCAGTTGAGAATCTGCTAAGTGCACTTCTGTTAAGCAAAATAAGCCCGTGTTTGTCCATTCATTCATTCCTTAGACAGGATTCTGCTAAGCCAGTTTCTGTTATGCAACATAAATCCATACTTGTCTAATAATCCTCAAAGACCTTACACGGCTAATAATTTTTCAAATATTTATGAGCCCCACAGAGGAGATTTATGTTAAGCTGCTTGGCAAGGAACAATAGAGTGTGCAGGGCTAGAGAACATTCTGTTGAAACAAATATTGTCAAGGCATCAATATTTTTATAGCATTTTTCATAAGGGACTTTTCACACCTGCTCATTTCCCTAATTATCCCTGAGACTTTTACACTTTCAGAGAGAATGAAAATGGAATTTTTTTGAAAGATCATTAATTTGAAAAATTAGCTGCTATATAAAGAAAAATACATACTCAGGCACAGCCGTTACTAAAAATACAGTCTTGAGATGGATGCACAGGGAGAGAGATACTAAGTTGTTATGGCAACTATCATTATAATTACAAAGCTGGAGGGTTTTTCTCGTTCATTACTGTGTTGAGATGTGGTAGTTTAAATGGCAATGTCCTTTGTAATGTCCTCAATCTCATTACTACATAATTACCCATTTCATATTTAATTTTCAGCATGTTTGTTCTTACTCTCATACCCTGTACATTTGGCATCTTTTGATAAGCCTTATTCTTAGTTCATGGGTCCCTTTTGCAGCTTAATTCCTCTCCTTGCTATTCCCTCCACTCTGCGGTTTCATTTTCAGTTTGATCTTTGGGACACTTGATTTGGCATGAGATATTCCATTTGTAAACAGTAAGATGCTGTTGCGAAGGCTCTTAAGAAACCACATGAACGGGCACCCGGGGAGACACTGAACACAGGATACGCTGGAGCCTGCTGAGCAGCCTTGGAGACACTGCACTTCTTGGCCACCTACTATGTGCAGGATTATCTACAGAAGTGATCACATTTGGCCTTTTTGCTGGGTTCTCTGTTTGCACTCCCCCTGGGCTCCAGCCCTCTGGGCTCTCCTCTGTATCTGGGAGGCTGATCCTTATAAATTAGTCCCCTTGTCCTTTGGTTTCTGATTGGGATTGACCAATGGAGATAGGGAGGTGAGGAGAAGGGGCTCTGGGTATTTCTTTGCCTTTCCCCACCCCCACACTTCCATGCCCCCCACGCACTTTGGTCCCAGGGGTCCTGGTGGTGGCTACATCTTTGGGCTTCCCTGAGACCCACTTACTCAACTCTAGCCCTGAAGTCCTATGGAAGGACATGACTTCCTGCCAGCCTGAGCCTCCACTCATCAGTTTCTGGTGCCTCGATATCACAATTTGTCTCTACAGCCCTGCCCATACCTCTGCACTTCATTTAATGCACCTGTCATCTGTGCGTGCCTCTATTTCCTGCCAGGTCCCTGACTGATTCCATCCTCCCAAAGCCTTATGAGGAGAGAACAGCTCCTTCTATCTTACAGCTGAGGAAGTGGCTAAGTCTCTCACTGAAGGTCATGTAATTAACAAGCGATTGAGTCAGTTGAACCCCCAACTGTTTTGCTCCAAAATTTCTGCCTCCATCACTCATGTCTCAGGATAAAGGGAACTGTGGCCCATCAGGCGACCTGAGATGTGCTTGGGCAGAATGGCATAGTGTGTCAGGGTGCAGTGTGGGCACCCTGGGGTGGCTTTAGCCTCCAATAAATCTCAAGCCCCTCCATCCATCAAGAGTGCCCAAGGTCTAAGTTCTTTAAATATAGACATTCTGGAGCTGCTCCTGTGGTCATTTAATGCATGAAGCCTAAAAGACAAGAAGCAATCATCTCCACGGAGTCGAGATTTGCATGAAAAGGAACTCAGTGTGAGAAGCCAAGAAGCAAAGCAGAGGAAGATGCTGCCCCAGCCACCAGCCCCCAGCCCCTCACTGCCACATGGGTGAAGCTGCCATGCTCTGGCCCAGAATCAGAAGCAAGGCTTTGGAAAGTCTGAGCTCAGTCATCTCTCTTCCTTTCCTCTCAGTCAGGGTACAGGGCTCTCTGAAAGAGCAATGCCAAATGCAGGCGGTCCACATGCTCTCTGAGGCCCCAGGGCTGGGAGAGATCTCCCATACCTGTAGTCCACTGTCAGGCAATCAGATCCCAAATCAGGGGTCTCACTGATGTTTCTGCAAGAGAACATCTCTGCCTCTCCCCACCATACAAGAGACACTGAAGTTGAGAGGATAGAGACTAAAAATATAATAAACTGTTATAAACCTAATGACTTTGAAAATCTGATAAATTCCTAGAAAAATATAAAATGCTAGAGCTAACACAAAAATATGGAACCTGAATAGACCAATAATATTAAATAAGTTAAAATGTGAGTCAACCAATCTTTATTTTAAAAAAGTTCTAAACCAGGTACAATAACACACACCTATAGTCCCAACTACTTGAGAGGCTGAAGCAAGAAGATTGCTTAAGCCCAGGAGCTTGAGGCTGCAGTACTCTGTAATCTGTGAATAGCCACTGCACTCCAGCCTGAGCAACACAGTGAGACCTTGTCTCAAAATAGATTTTTTTTAATTGGCCGGGAGCGATGGTGTTCACCTGGTCTTAGCTACTTGGGAGGCTGAGGCAGGAGGATTGCTTGGATCCAGGAGCATGAGGTTATAGTGAGCTATAATTACACCACTGCAATCCAGCCTGGGCAACAGAGTGAGACCCTGTCTCAAAGGAAAAAAAAGAAGTTCCAGATCATTTTTCAGTTTTCCAGTTGAATTTACTAAACTTTTTAAAAAGCTGATATTCCCACCTTAAAGAAAGTGGGTTTTTTTTGTTTTGTTTTTGGTTTTTTTTTTTTTTTTTTTTTAGATGGAGTTTTACTCTTGTTGCCCAGGGTTGAGTGCAATGGTGTGGTGCAACTTCCACCTCTCAGGTTCAAGTGATTCTCCTGCCTCAGCCTCCCAAGTAGTTGGGATTATAGGCAGGTACCACCATGCCTGGCTAATTTTTTGTATTTTTTTAATAGTACAGATGGGTTTTCACCACATTGGCCAGGCTGGTCTTGAACTCCTAACCTCAGCTGATCCCCAAGTCTCAGCCTCCCAAAGTGATGGGATTACTGGCATGAGCCACCGTACCCAGCCTGAAAGTTTTCTTTTACAGGAAATAGAAAAAGAGAGAAATTTACTTTGATAATTTTATTATGCTAATGTAATCTTAATTCTAAAACCAGAGAATGAAATTATTAAAAAAGAATATAAAATATTCATTTCATTATAAATATAGACACTAAAAATCTTAACTCAAATATTAGTTAATTGAATTTTATTTTTTAAAATACATAAAAAATATATAAAATACATAGAGTATAATTAAGTAGGCTTTATTTCAGGAATACAGAAATGAGTCAACAGTAGAAAATCTACATATATAATTTATCATGTTAACAGATCAAAAGAAAAAAGTTGTGTGATTATCTAAGTCAATGAATTATCTGAATTAGAAAAGCAGTTCATAAAATACAGCATCTGTTTGAAGACGTCCTGAACGAATGGCAAGATATCTATGCTCTTGCATGGGGCAACTGGAATAAAAGATTCAATTCTGGCTGGACATGGTGGCTCATCCCTCTCATCCCAGCACTTTGAGAGGCCAGGGTGAGAGGATCACTTGAGCCCAGAAATTCAAGACCAGCCTGGACAACACAGTGAAAACTTGTCTCTATAAAAATAAAAATAAAATTAAAATGGCATAGTGGCATTTGCCTGTAGTCCTAGCTTCTCAGGAGGCTAAGGTGGGAGGATTGCTTGAGTCTGGGAGGTCGAGGCTGCAGTGAACCAAGATCACACCACTGCACTCCAGCCTGGGCGACAGAGCAAGACTCTGTCTCAGAAAAAAATACTTAATTCTTCTGTAACAGATTAATCTATAAATAGTTATAAGGAAAAATAAATTTTATGCCAAAAAATTTCTGTTCAATGATTTGAGGAAGCAAATAAACGTTCTCTAAAATATATAGAGAAGCAAAATTTCTTCAGATAACTAAAATAGCCTTTACTTACCCAAGTAAATATTAAGGTACTTTACAAAGCCAGAGAGAGAGAGAAGGAAGGAAGGAAGGGAGGGAGGGAGGGAAAGAAGGAAGGAGAGGAAGGAGAAAAGGGAGGATGGGAAGGAGAGAAGGAGGGAGGTAGGGAAGGAGGGAGGGAAAGAAAGGGAAAGAAGGGAGGACTTAGGCACAAAAATAAACCATTGTTCAATGCAAGAAAAGAGCTTAGGTACAGACATATGTAATATTTAGGGAACAATACATAATATGAGAATGTTACACATCAAGGTGGATTCTTTACCATGTGGCCTTGGGAAACTTGCCTCTCTATATGGGAAAAACTAAAACTGGATCCTTACCACACACGAAAGTGGACTCCAAATGGATTAAAGAACTAAATGTGAAAAGTGAAACCATAACAATAATAGAAAGTGTATAAACATATCTTTGTAACCTAGAGATGGGGAAAAACTTGTTAAATAAAAACCTCAGAAGCACAAACCATAAGGCAAAAATAAGAAGAGGAGGAATTAATGTGGTTACTTATATCATGATAAAGGATTAATGTTCCACAAAGAACCCACTGAACAAAATGAACAGGCAAATAACATATTGGGAGACAATA